GAGGAGGAGAAAGGAAACAAAGCTGTAGATTCAAATTATATCTATCTATATTGTACCTATCATCTGTCTATTGTATCTACATCTATCTACATCTATCTATCTATCTATATATCATCTATCATGTATCTATCTTCTATCATCTATCTACCATCTATTGTCTGTCTGTCTGTCTGTCTGTCTATCTATCTATCTATCTATCTATCTATCTATCTATCTATCTATCTATCTATCTATCTATCTATCTATCTATCTATCTATCTATCTCTGTCTGTCTGTCTGTCTGTCATGTGTGCCACCCATCTGCCAAGGGAAACTCTAGGCAGTTTACTGACCTTAAAAGAAAATGCAGTATAAAGCATGAAAACAATGGATTCAAATCGAATCAAATCTCTTTATTATGCTCTTTGACCAGCCTTTATTAAAACAATGAATAAAGGCCTTAAATTTAACAAATTCAATTAAAATCAAAGCAGGCAGGACGCAGGGCCAGGGAGCAGAAACTGCACCCGGGGAGGGAGGCGGAGGGTTTGAGGGGCTCAGCTAATTGGCCCAAACAGCAGGAAGGATTGTCTACATCAGTTTTGTCCAAGCTGCAATTGTGACATTTTGTGTGATGCATGGATGGATCTAAACTAAAGTAACGACGGTTAGCTTTCCCCTACGGCTTGTTGGAGAAGACTTTGGTTTGAAGGAGGCCTGTCCATCCCCACCCCTTCCCGGCGCTGCCGTCCATTTCCCACGAGGAGCAGCGAAGGAAAAGGGACGGTTTTTCCGCCCTGCGGGCTTTCTGACAGCCTGGATGGATCGGAAGGAAAACTGAGATGCACTTAAACGTTTTCAGATGGGGAACTTCAGAGGAAGCGGGTCACCTGCCTCCAGCCCTCCTACTCCTCCTCCTTGATTGCCCTGGCGGGGCTTAAAACTTTGCCCTTTCGCATTTTTCTAACCCCCTCGGAGGGAAAAGTCAACGCTCCTTTTCAAAGGCTGGGGAGGAAGGGGGCCGGGGAGGGTAGGTGAAGGGGGGGGGCAAGCAGAGAGATTTTCATTCCCCAAAGAGGTCTGAGAGGCATAATAAATGAAGGAAGCCGTCAATCAAGGCGGATGGAGAAGCTTTGGAAAACCGTTCCGGGCCTCTCTTCTTTCTTTCTTTCTTTCTTTCTTTCTTTCTTTCTTTCTTTCTTTCTTTCTTTCTTTCTTTCTTTCTTTCTTTCTTTCTTTCTTTCTTTCTTTCTTTCTTTCTTTCTCTCTCCCTCTCTTTTTCTCACTTTCTCTTTCTCTGTTTTTCTATCCTTTTCTTTCCTTCCTCTTTCTCTTTCTCTCTTTCTCTCTCTTTGGCCTGTAGTTTACGGTGCCGTTTGCAAAATCCGTTTGTTTTTGGGGCACCCCAAGTCTAACAGGAAGGGAAGGGAGCCAAGGCAGCAGCAGCAACAACGCAACACCCCAACTAGGGGGCTAGACAAACTTTTGATTTTGGCTTCCTGCTCCGGATTGCAGAAGCAACAGGGAAGGGCCATAATTGGGCTGTAAAATCACCCCTGGGTTCAAGCAAGAATTTTAACTGGGTGTGTAAAACATCTGGGAGCTGCGTCCACACACCTTGTGCCTCTTTGTGGCCTTGGAAACCATGAAAAGTCACTGTTTGGATCAGTTTGGGGGGGGGTCGTCTGCATTTTAGACATACTTCCAGAATTATTTAGGACATGGCCACCAAGTGTCAAAAAATCAGCAAACATGACTATTGAATTTCCAATAAATCTGACTTTCTTGGGAGATCAACATCTGAAGGCAAGCTGTTCCATTGGTTGGTTGTTCTCACTGTCAGCAAATTTCTCCTTAGTTCTATGTTGCTTCTCTCCTTGATTAGTTTCCATGCATTGTTTCACTTAGCAACATAAATTTGGGGCTCAGTTGTGGTCATAACTTGAGGGCCACCTGTATCCTATCCAAAAAGAGTTACTGTTCCTTGAGCTACTTGCATAAGAGCACAATCATGTTGCGTTTTCAAATAGAGGCTCAGCCAGAAGATGCTGATTTCCAGAACATTTGAGGATAATCCGCAAGGATTCAAATCATCTATATTTTCACGGTCATTATCAAATATTACTTTTACCAAGCCGTGATACAGATCAAAACACAACCATCACAAAATCCCACTAATTCATATATCCCCCAAAACCCAGTTTTAACTGCAGCAGTTCAACACATTTAATATAGAACTAATGCTAGCCTCAATTCTTCCAGCACAATGAAAAGGTCTTTACAAGAAGCAACGGGTGGAAGATCAATAAAAAGAGATCCAGCCTAGAATTAAGGAGGAATTTCCTGACAGTGACAATTATTGGACTTGCCTCCAGAAGTTGTGAGTACTCCATCACTGGAGGTTTTCAAGAAGAAACTGGAAAGTCATTTCTTTGGATTGGATAGGGTCTCCTGCTTGTGCAGGAGGTTGGACTAGAAGACCGCCAAGGTCCCTTCAAACTCTGTTATTCTGTTAGTTAATCCATTTAAGGTACCTTGCTTCAAAAATTGTTGCCGTAGGATGCACTGGTTCACCCAGTTAAAGATTATATAGACAAACAGGAGAGTTTTAATAGCATATAGAAATCAATATATTGCTTTCCCCCCCCCACTCAAACCACTCCTGATGCCTCCCTCTGACCAGGGCTGTGAATGTATAAAATCCACATTAAGAATCTAACCCTGCCTTGTTTGTTTTTCTTAACTCTGAGACCGGAGAACAAATTGGTATCCAGGAAAGACCTGTGTTAATTAATAAAATCTATTTATTTGATTTAGGAGTCCCTGCATCCCCCAGGCTATCATGGCTATAATTATTATTTCAATAGAAAAGTAGTACCGGTCTCGGACTTGTTGAAAGAAGAAGGAAAGTTAGGAAGGAGACAGGATTTATTTTTCTTTGGAAGAATTTACGACTAATAGCCTTCAGGCTATTTCAGTCCACTCAAGTTAAACTGCATATTTTTTTAAAAAAAAAAAGGAAGGAAAAGGGGGGAAAAAGGAGGGAAGAACAGAGAGAAGAGAAAAAGGACAGAGAAATGGAAAGAAGAGAAGAAGAAAAAAACCTTTGAGCCTGGGATACAGCCAAAATTCAAAATTACTTCCTTTGTAAATTGAATTTGACATACTTGTAATTCACACTATATTGAAAGTCTGGGCTTGTGTCCAATTAACTTATACAATTATGAAATTTGAATACGTACATCTGTATTTTCAGTGGCAATTGTGCTTTATAAGAGTGCAGAAGCTTTTTTTTCACTGTAAACTTTCAGGAATTCAAGGTGGACTCTGGAGTCTCTAAATTACTTCTCTCTTTTATCATTTTGTAACTCTAAAAAAGGTTGAAATTTTGAACGTGGGGCTTTGATATTTTCTAGTTTTGGCAAAAGGCTCTTATGTCCTTGAAAAGGGAAGCATCCAGCGCTTCCCACAGCTGGGCCGTGCCAACGATCTTCAAACTTCTGAAGTGGTCTCCAGATCTTCTCCAAAATTTCCTCTAAATTGCAATTTTTGATGGGACAGGAGGCAACATTTACGCCACGGATGAGAGGAAGGATCTTCAACATTTGCGTTCCACCTTTTGCTTAATTCAATTAACTAATTTTAATTTCATTTAATTCATTAATGCAATGCCGCAGAGAAGAGGGGAGTCAACCTAATCTCCAAAATATCTGAAGGCAAACAAGGGATGGAAACTTATCTGGGAGAGAGCCAGCCTAAAACGTAGTAGACATGCCCTGGCATTTGGATGCTGCGACCATCATTAAGTGCGAGGATCATTTTTCGGTGATGTTGTAACCACAAGCAGTCACTAAAGGGAGCGTTGTAAGTCGAGTATCTGTAAACTCTTCCAAATGTTGGCGGGAGTGAAGTATATTTTCATATCCAGGCACGCATCTACAGGAAAGAAAACACTGAAAGCAAAGATTATTTTAAAGTGAGATGTTTGATTGGTATCCTTTTGCATCGCTCTGGTGCCGTTTCCGGACAAAATTCTCAAAGGTCCTTTTATGAAGGAATTCTCCAAGCGGGCGAGATTTTTTTTTTTATATTATTTTTTTTCTTCTTTTCCCGTCTCTTTCTCTTTCTCTCTTTTTTTTTTTTGCCACATCATAGTTGCTCAAGCTTGACATATAGCAGAGGAATTTAGGGTAACTGGTACAAATCAGAGAGCTGTCATAAAAGTATTCCAAATTTTAAAACCATCCCAAAATAAGGGTGTTTTTTTTCTCCCCCTCTGTTAGAGACCAAATGGAAACCAGATGTTGGGGCAAATTGGCAAGATCGGGTTTCAGAGGAGAATTTAAATGAAGGCGCAGCAGGATTGCCTTCTCTTGTGTGGATTCTCCCTTTCCAAAAAGTCTACGAGATTCGTGGGGTTTGCTGGGATCCTAGAATGGGGGGGTCAGGAGACATTTAAAAATATGGGGAGCAGAGACAGGAGCCCAGAGCAGATTCGCAGTAAAGTGGAAATGAGTCTGAATATTCAGAGCTGCTTTGGCAAGGATTGTAGGGCACTTTACTGGTTAGAACATAAAACATAGAAGAATAGAGTTGGAAGAATAGAGTTGGAAGGGACCTTGGAGGTCTTCTAGTCCAACCCCCTGCTCAGGCAGGAGACCCTGTATGCCATTCCAGACAAATGGTTGTCCTGTCTCTTTATGGAAGCCTCCAGTGATGGGAGCACCCACAACCTCTGGAGACAAGCTGTTCCACTGTTGATTGGAACAATTAACCTTTCCTTAATTTCTCCTTAGTTGTAGGTTGGTTCTCTCCTTGGTTAGCTTCCACTACGTATGGTCCACTAATGGTCAAAGCTAAACTGACCCTAGAAAAGGATGAACGGAGCGATCAATGGGGCGGGGCTGGCCTGGAAGTCTCTTGCAGCCATGCAATGATTCCAGACTGATGGCACATTTAACTCCCCCTTCCGGCTCAGCTTGCTCTTCTCCTACAAAAGCTCCTCTCTCTTCTGATCACAGGGGAAAGCCTGAGTCCGGCCCACTCCTCCTCCTCCAAACGGAAGAAGAAACAGCGGAGGAACCGGACCACCTTCAACAGCAGCCAACTGCAAGCTCTAGAACGAGTCTTTGAGAGGACGCACTATCCGGACGCTTTCGTGCGGGAGGAGCTGGCCCGAAGGGTCAGCCTTAGTGAAGCCAGAGTCCAGGTGAGAGCGACTGGATTCACCTACAGACTTATGACAGTTGGGACCAGAATTTCTGTTGTTAATTGAGTCACATCTGATTTCTTCTTCCTCCTCCTCCTCCTCCTCCTCCTCCTCCTCCTCCTCCTCTCTACAAACCCCACTCCGTTCTAGCCCTGATGATGTTACCTAGTTGGGTCATGAAATGTCTGCAAGAAAACATCCAAGCTCAGGGAGGACCAGGGACCCCACTATCCTCCTCCTCCTCCTCCTCCTCCTCCTCCTCCTCCTCCTCTCTGCAAATTCTCCTCCCTTCTAGCCCTGATGATGTTACCTAGTTGGGTCATGAAATGTCTGCAAGAAAACAAGCCAAAGGACCCTGCATTTCCACCCTGAGCCACAAATATTCTCCTTCGTGGCTATCTGTGTCTTTCTTCCCCTCCAGGTCTGGTTTCAGAACCGAAGAGCAAAATTCCGCCGGAACGAGAGGGCGATGTTGGCCAACCGGTCAGTATCGCTCCTCAAATCCTACACCCAAGACACAGCCATTGAGCAGCCTGTTGCTCCCCGGCCCACCACCCTCAGCCCCGACTATCTATCGTGGTCAGCCACCCCCCCCTACAGGTTGGTCCGTGCTTCTTTCCTCCCTTCTCCCCCATCCCTGCCTCTCACGTTTCCCCAGGTGACTTCTGCTCCAGGTTAGCCCTCATGGCAATGTTATGTTAGCTTTCAAGTCAGAGTGCTAACCAAACGGAGGAAGGGAAGGAAAATAGAGCCTCTCTTGCTCTCTGGGCCAAGGAACACATTTCATCTGAGGCAGAGGAGGAGAAGGGGGGAACCCCCTGAGCTAAAATTAGATTGGACTGTTCGGCTATAAAGGAAAAACATGATCTCCTCTGCCTCCAGAGAGGGCAATCTGCCCCGTGCCACTGGAACACAAGGGCTGGAGATCTGTGCTTTTTATGCCCCTGTTAATAACGCCGTTGTTTAGTCTAGTCTTACCCTGTGGATTTTTTCTAGACCCCTGGAAGGAATCCCTGCAGCCCTACAGTCACCCTTTAAAAGGTTAATTTCCTCCAAGCAAAAGTTTTCTATGTACGTTTTTGCAGTGTAAGCTCTTTTTTTTTTTTTTTTTTTTTAATGTAGCGGCCGCTGCTTGCACGTAACTTTTGGAAAATATGTTTTTTTAATCTGCACTTTTTATGTCTCCGTTAATAACACCATTAGGGGACTGAAGGCTAAAACAGATGGAGAACGGTTGCAGAATTGGGTATGTCTAGTTTAATGAAAAGAGGACTAGGGGAGACATGATAGCAAGGTTCCAATATCTCAGGGGTTGCCACAAAGAAGAGGGGGGTCCACCTATTCTCCAAACACCAGAAGGCAGGAGTTGAAGTCCACAAGTCTTAAAGTTGCCAAGTTTGAAGACCCCTGGTCTAATGTCTCTTCTTCTTCTTCTTCTTCTTTGTTCCTGTCTCCTTCTTCCCATCTCCTCTGCCCCTTCCAGCAACACGATGCCTTCATACAGTTCCAGCACCCCCAGCACCCCCACCCCGGGCGTCAACATGGCCAACAGCATTGCCAGCTTGCGCCTGAAAGCCAAAGAGTTCAGCCTCCACCAGAATCAGGTGCCCACTGTGAACTGACGTGCTCACCCTTTCTCCATGGCCAACAGCAACCTTGGCGATCTCCACCATTCAAGACATCGGGGATATTCATGGTCCATCAGGGCTCAAGACTCTTCCCCTGCCCCCCAGCGTCTCCTTCTCTTGAAGACCACAGGAGAGAGCATCAACCAACTTGAGAAACTTCTTGAAGCTCCCTTGGGGAGGAAGCGTTGCCCAGCCTCTTCAAGATCATGCTGGTGGACCATGGTGGTGGACCATGACTTCTTCAAGGAAGAGCAAATGATCCAGAAGAGGAGGCCATCCAGAAATGAAGACATGGAATTTGGAGAGCTTTCCCGGTTGGGTTGGAAGCTCAAAGATCTAACTCTTCAAGAACATTTTGGTTTCAAGAACCCAAATATAATCTGGTTATTTCATGGTCTTTTCAACCCCGATTATCTCGCCCTTTCCTGGGGATGGTGACCTTGGAGCCACCAAGATTTGGCATGGAGCAGTTTTTATTCCAAATTGGGGAGGGGGGGGGAAACGTCTCTCCTGTAGAGGTTTCTTTGTCCGTCTCTGCTCTCTGCACGTGTGTCAAGGAAAAGTGGCTTCAAAACAGAAAAAGCGCTTGCTCTGATTCCCCCTATGCCTTGAATTCCTCAGGAGGGCTTCTTTGGAACAGGGACGGCAGCTGATCGCCCTCAGCCCACAGATAAGCCAGCAAAAAGTCTGATTGCGCCACTGTGATTCCTTTAGAACAGTTTGCAAAATGCACATTTGTGGATGCTGCTTAAATCAGAGGGCGGGTTTGCGGGGGAAAAAGGACACCGAATTTTAGCGGTGAAAGACGGGCAGCTGAGGAGGGGGCGATGCAGGAAAAACCAGGGCTGGGGGCTGCAATTAAATCATTGCCATTGCAATATCCGTTCGCATTCTCACAATCCTCACTCTGTTTTACTTTTCTCCAGCTCTCCTCAGCTGGAGGGGGGTTGGGTGGGGAGAAGAAAGGTACATATTAGGGAGGATTTTGTTGGGATAACATTTTGCCCCAAATTTGGGATATTTTTCATTTTGTTCTGTTCTTTGTGAGAAGCTCATCACGTTCCAGCAGGCCGGTTCATCAGTTTCCATTCCCCAGAATTCCCAGTGCTCAATTTAACAACTGTTTGAAGTTATGGTGGGGGCTGAAAAAAATGACTCGTGGCTGCTTCTTACACTGTTGCGGTGTCTACGTGATTGTGTAATCAAAATTCGGGGTGCTTGGCAATCGCCAGGGGTTTCGGAGAGTCACAGCCCCCCAGGAACAGGTGGCCTCCCTTTGTGACCTTTCCAGACAAATATAGTCAATGGGGATGCCAGATTCACTTAACAACCGCATGATTCCTTTAACAACCATGGTGAGAAATATCATAGAATTGGCAGTGACTCATTTAATGACCACATCACTTGAGGATAGAAGTCCCAGTCCCAAATTTGGTTATAATTTGAGGACTACCTGTATTTCAGCTTCCCAGAATCCCCCAATCAAAAGAGTATTGGCCACCGATGAGATGACCCTGCTTCAAACAGCCCCACCCCCCCCAATCTTTTGCTCCAGAAATTCCTTGCAGCCTTGAAGACTCAACACTTTGAACAATTTTAGGCTGTTCCCTTCACCCACCCAGTCCCTACAAAAATAAAAATCTGTGTAAACTCAGTCTTATATGGTGCTTTTTTCATCCCATTCCACAACTGACAAACATCTGGACATTGCTTTGGGGTGTTTTGATTTTTATTATTTTTACAAATAACTCATGGTGGCGAGCATATCCCACAGGCCTTCCTCCACCTATTTCCTCCACAACCATCCTGTGAGGTGGGTTGGGCTGAGAGGGAGACTGGCCTAAAGTCACCGACATGCCTAAGGTGGGACTAGAACTCGCCGTCTCCTGGTGATTGGCCCAAAGTCACTCAATTGGCTTTCATACCTAAGGCGGGACTAGAACTCGCCATCTCCCACTTCCTAGCCAGGTGCCTTAACCACTAGACAAAATCGGCTCTTTTGTGATCATATAGGACAGTGGTTTTCAACCTTTTTAATGCCGCGACCCCAACCGGTCGAAAGTCGAGGACTAAACCGGTTGTAAGTCGAGGACTAAACCAGTCGTAAGTCGAGGACTACCCAACTGGTCGTAAGTCAAGGACTTTCCCTGCCCGGGAGCACCACGCATGCGTGGTTCCGCCCCCTGCGCCAGCCGAGGCGTAGCTGGCAAGCGGCAGAGACGGAGCAGGCCGACCACCAGCTGGCCCAGCCCAAGGGAGGTAAGGCACCCGCCGGAAAAGGGGGAAAAAATGGGGGACAGCCTTGCTTGGCGACCCCCGTGAAATGGTCGATCGACCCCAAATGGGGTCCCGACCCACAGGTTGAGAACCGCTGATATAGGATAATTTCTACCTGTCCATTTCTGGAACTCACCCGTGGCTTCTAAAATAAAGAAAAAAAAAATGAAATATGCCATAGTCCGCCCTAGACGCTAGAGGGCAGTGCTGTATCATCAAATGCATAATGAACATTTCAGAATAATTTTTACAGCCAGCATTTTGCGGGAAGAAAAATGCTCCTGTTGCAGCGTGGACACGATAACAGAATCATTTCTAAGTGCGCGTTTATTTTAGGGATTTTGCCCTAATGGGGATGAAGGATAAGCATCCACATCCCTCGGGAGGGGCAACTAAAGGTGAGAAATCCTGTCCAAGAGTCACAGCAACTGGACTTGTCTTTTTTTCAAAAGAAGCCGAGACTCAACTTCCAGATAACTTTACCTGGATGACTCAGAATCTCCGTCGACATACAGGTAAGAAACTTTACTCAAAATTAAATTAGAAGCACGGTTATAGGGGTTCTGGGCTTATTTCACTTCCTGCTCTCTTTTACTTTAGATTTGCACTGAACTCTGCACATCCTCTTTGGAACCCACAACCCTGTTTTTTGGCTCAGATGGGAGAGCAACGAGGAGGTCCTGCAAGCAAAGAAGCTGATGAGCCACAAAAAAGAGGACCAAGACTTTTTGAAGGTCAATTGTGCAGTAAACAGCTCATCGTTCATGACGGGCTGAATGGTGATCAAGGATGGCTACAGCCTTGTGATCTCTGAGTGGTCTCCCATTCAAGTGCTAACAGGTTTGACTGTGCTTAGGTTTTCGAGACGAGACATGCTTGGGCAGGGTGATGCCAGCTGTTGTGACCTTGGTAAGATATAGAAGCCTAGTAAAAACAGCTACAACTACTAGCAGTACCTTCACACATAGTAAACACATGTTCACAGAGTTGGAAGAGATTATGGAGGACTTCCCACACAACGTGATACTCAGAGAAGGACTGTCAAGTTTTCTGAAAGATAACTGCCCTGCCCCAGCTTGAATTCGCCCACCTCTGTGGGTCATTGGTTCCACCATCTAACTGCTTTTCCGTGTATAATTTTGTTCCCCTAACATTTAATGAGACATTGATAACCTGTACTTTGAAATTTATGCATCTGAAGGACCTTCTACAACTCTCAGAATGACTGTCCTGACTGGGGAATTTTGGGAACCAATCTGAAGGGCCTCCCTTGAGAGGGTTGGAAAAAAAATTAATCTAAAAACAGGAGTTTTACACAAAGCTTAAAGACACTGCCCACTCACTGCAAAGCTATTTAGAACATCTTGGAGATGGAAAATGCCAGGAGTACAAATTTCTTTTAATGTGTTTTATTTGTTCAATTACAAACAATGTGAAGATTAAGAGTCACATCCATATGTCAACCCACGCTGGACCCTGAACATCTCGTAGATGGAACGGGCAGCTCAAGAGATTTCTGCTGAGGTTAGGTGGCCCTTTGGATGAGAAAGTATTTCATCCTTCAACTGATGCAGAAGGAACAATCTCTTTTCATTCACACCCACCCAAGTTGGGATGTTCCTAGTTTGCCCACTTCTTAAATTTCTCCAAACCAAACTTGGACCTTACAAAAATACCATCCATGCCTTAGAACCCAAAGACCAGGAGATACAAAAATCCATCCATTATAGTCTTTATCTCCCAAGCCAAAACTAGTTACGCAAAATACAGCCATATGGTGAAGCATTTATTCCCTCCATTTAGATTCTTGCTGTCCTTCATGTCCTGCGTTTAACACGACCCACGAGCCACGGGGACGAAGGCCACCGACAGTCACTGGCGTCTGATCACTGAAATGAGGATCTGTAAGGCCATGGAGAAACAGGGAATCTGGGCCACGCTGTAGGCCACCGAACGGATGGGAGGTCTCATCTGGAGGAGATACGCCACGGTGTGAACCATCCGGCCCAGGAAGAAAACCAAGAAGTGGATCCGAGCCACGACTGGATTGGGATGCAGGAAACTATAGACGGTCCCGATGAACAGAAACGGGTAGATGGTTTCCATATCGTTCCGATGAACTCTGGTGACAGAAGGACACAGAAGAGGAACATGATCAAGCTTGGTCCTTTAGACTCAACACTGGGTGGACCTCAGGTGGACTCCTGGCTACCATTATGGGGTTCAAGAAGACGATGGACAGGTTAGAACTGTTTCAGGATGTTTTTTTCAAGAGGCAACTGGACTTCTTTGTTTTTTGGTCTCCTTTTTCCCATGCTTTGTAGAAAATATTCAAGTTCTTCCGGAACTTTTGCACGCACCATTAAACCTCAACCTCTACATTCTTTCTCCTTTGTTTCAAAAGCCAAAGCAGTTCAAAGTCTTGACATTAAAAAACAAGGAAATCCTTTGAAATCTTAGCTAAGTAAATAATACCAGGGGTGTGCACCACTAGGATTTGCTAGAAATAGTTCTACTCTTGACTAAGAAAGTCAGCTTTTTAAAAGAGAGATGGAACATAGAACATAGGGACCGTGGAGGTCTTCTAGTCCACCCCCTTACTCAAGCAGGAGTCCCTACACTATTCCGGGCTGTCCAAATCTCTTCTTGAAAAGCTTCCAGTGATAAAGCACCCACAACTTCTGGAGGCAACTTCTGTTCCATTAATTATTCTCACTGTCAGGAAGTTTCTCTTTAGTTCTAGGTTGGACATCTCTTTAGTAATCTCCCAAGATTACTATAAGGATTGTATTAATACAATATAGTAAATGCAAGCATTTACAGTATTGTAAATGTATATAACACAAGATGCATGCTTATATAAGATCCTCTAAAAATACCAAAAACTTATGAGGATTGGCCATTTTACCAACATTCTGGAATTAGAAGCCTAGTTAGGAATCTGAGGTTAGGTTGATGCTTTCAGGATTCAAATCAGATTCAGATCAGAAATTCTAATTTCTGATTAATTCTGTTCTCTATTTTAGTCAACCAGGGAGACCCAAAACCTCTCTTTAAAAGATAAGCTTTGCCGAAGTAACAAACAGATTCTGCATAGTGAACATTCCAATACAGGACACAATTAAGTGAATGAATTCTGTTAGGAGACTAAGTTGGAAACTCCTTAACATTTAAATAACATTTAAATTAAATAACATTTAATCACATCATCAGAAAAAAACAGAAAACCTGCCAGATAATTTCAATGAATAGCGTCAAACTGGCTCCCCCAGTTACATTCACAAGGTTTTGCCAGGAATCTCAAAGCAAAAACAGTCGCCAAGAAAACCGTTTCCCAGCAAGTTACAGTTGGCTAGTTTTGCAAAATAATAATAATAATAATAAAAACTTTGATTTCATCTTTTTCTTGAGCTGGTGGAAAATCCCATCCAAGCTGAGTCAGCCGCAGTCCGAAACGGAGCCTTGCACCTAACTGGCGAATTGCAGCCTGCAGTCCATACTTCTAACCAGGTTCACACATTCTGCAAAGACGTGGCTTGTGCAGTCATGATTTATGGAAGACACCCAACCACAAACGGCAAGATTTCTACAGGTAATCCCCAACTTAACGATTTGCTTAATGACAGATAAAAGAGAATGTAGCTCATGGTTGAAATGAGGGGTCTTTGGTGCTCTCTGAGCTGGGTGATTTCCTTGCAGACGTTTCATTACCCAACTAGATAACAGCATCAGTGCTAGAAGGGAGGAGGATTTAAGGAGGAGGAGGAGGAGGAGGAGGAGGAGTGTAGGGTCCCTGTACTACCTGAGTTTGGGGGTTTTCTTGCAGGCGTTTCATTATCCAACTAAGGGAACAAGGGAGTGGGCTTTTTTCTGATTTTATAGATTAAAATGCTGCAACAGTTGTAAATGTGGAAAATGGTCATAAGCCACTTTTTGGGTCCGCTCTAATTTCAAACAGTCACTAAACAAAATGGTTGTAAGTCAAGGATTACCCATCTTTTGGAAGTATGTCCCCTCCCTCACAACTTCCAAGAAAAATTCAAAGGATCTTTGCATCCCCGCCGTCTACAATATCAGCCACGCAAATCCTTCCAAGTGGTCAGAGCTGGGCCTGGGCTTTCAAGGGTTTACCTAAGTCTCTCCACAGCTTATGGGCCAGAGATAACTGCATCCAAGGCAAAAGCTCACATCTGTAATCCGTTGTGTTATTGCAAGACAGATGGACACATAGTCAGCCAGATAAACATCCCAAAACACTTGAGTTGAGCCTTTGCAATTAAAAATCCCTCTGAAATTCATTTTGTTTACTTCTGCAAATGTACAGTCGGCCAAGAGCCTCATCTTCAGGGGAATGACTGAAGGTCAAAAGAAGCTCCTCAACTTCAAGAGGTTGACTCTACGTCAAAGAAAGTTCCCCATCTCTCTAGGTTCAACTTCAAGAGGTTGACTCTAGGTCAAAAGAAGCTCCTCTACTTTCTAGGTTCAACTACAAGGGAATGACTCCAGATCAGAAAAAGCTCCTCAACTCTAGCTTGCATGGAATGAACCCATGGCTAGATTTGTTCCCCACTGGTGAAGAGGCAAAAACAAGTATGTGGCTACCACAATATTGCTCTCCATACAATTCTCATGGCTCTCATTTATGTACGTACACACCTTGGCCAAATCCCAAAGTTGGTAATGAGAGATTGGATAAAGAAGGCAAGGTTATGATCCAAGGCACCCAACTTTTTGCCCACATTTCAGCCCAGGGCATAAACACAACTCAGGCTCAGCTATTGGTGTTGGTGTTGTTGAAGATTAACCTTCTGATGACCTAATTAAGGGATTTTTTTGCCTAGGTATTATACTTTGGGGAAACTCTGCCCTCTTTGGCTAGGAAATTCAGAGTGTAAATTATTCTTTGGCCCTTAAGGCAGGGAGGAAACTACTGGGGAAGAAGGAATGAGTTATAACAAGTTCTCCTTGGGTTACACAGGTAACAAAGGAAAACCACAACACATAAAAATATATATATAAGGAGGAAAAGCCAACGGCTTCACCAAGGCCTTTGTACTCCATTAAACTGTCTAAGAGTCTGCTTCAACTTTCTCAAACTTGCCCATTTTGAGATGGATGAACTTCAACACCCAGAATTCTTAGCAATGACCAGGGACTTCTAGGAGCTGAAATCCACATTTCTAAAAGTCGCCTGGGAAACAGGTCTATTAAAAAAAATAGAGAGAGAATGGGACTTTACGTTGGAGGTATTTGGTAGCTCCTGAGACCCACAGGCAAGCAAAATTAGAACAGATTCTGATGGTCAGGCCATTTAGTTCCTGCTTGTTTTCTTGATGTCTCTGAAAGTTGAGAAGAATCAGGGGAGGAAGTAGCAGCCTTCACGTGTTCTTCTCCATCACCACTGGCAGCCCTCCTGATGGCCTCTGGAGAGACAGGAGTTCCCACCCATATCCCCCAAAAATCTAAATTCGACAAAGTTGGGCAGAAGATCATTAAAGGGAGACCCAACCTAGAATTAAGGCAAAATTTCCTGACAACGAGAACAATTGATCAGCGGAACAGTTTGCCTCCAGAAGTTGTGAGCGCTCCATCATTAGAAGTTTTAAAAAAAGATTGGACAGCCATTTGTCTGGAATGGCATAGGGTCTCCTGCTTGATCACGGGGGTTGGACTAGATGACCTCCGAGATCCTTTCCAGCCCTTTGATTCTATGATTCTTTGAAAGATGTTTGAGTTCCCGGGGTTTGCCCCCTCCCCTCCCCATCCCATCCCATCCCATCCAGAACTGCCAGGCTGCAGAAAAATAACATAATTAAACACACTGGAAGGAATCCCATTAATTATAGTCAATTCACTGAATGGCAACAAAGCTTAAATTTAAAAGGTATTTGTTCTTAACCATTGGGTCTTCCCTCAACATTTTTTCCCTTTGCAAAAAAAATGGGCTGGCCCGATAAATGCCACAGGTCCTGGACCAGTGCCAGTCAGTTCTCAGACGTGGAGGCTGCGTTCTTTGCAAACTACCAAAGCTGAAAAATCCTATCCCCTTTTTTTGCTTACAAGCCAGAGCCAACTTTTTAACTCAAAGCAAACAATATGTTGTAAATCTCCCCGAAGCCCCATCGCTTTCTTTGGAGTTCCTAAGCTGGAACAAACAAATTCCCCTTTTTTTAACGACTCTTGGCTGAAATAAGAACAGAGGAACCAGGAGGAATAACGTAGGCGCTTTTTAAAGTTAAATAAACAAGGGTTGCTTCCTCCCCTATTCAAATTCCTTTCTCTTGCCTGGAGAAATCAAGATTATCCCCTAGTTGAGGATTAAAATGTTTAAAGTTTACACTTAGGCAAGAAAAACCAAATGCACAGATATAGTATAGGGCCAGGGGTAGGCAACTTTGGCTCTTTTATGACTCGTGGACTTCAGCTCCCAGAATTCCTGAGCCAGCATGGCTGGCTCAGGAATTCTGGGAGTTGAAGTCCACGAGTCATAAAAGAGCCAAGGTTGCCTACCCCTGGTATAGGCGGTACCTGGCTCAATAGCAGTAACTGTGAGAGGGATCTGGGAGTCCTAGTGGTCAATCCCTTAAACAGGAGCCAGCCGTAGTCTTCAGCTGTCAAAAAAGCCAACACAATTCTGGGCTGCATCGATAGAGGGATAAAATCAAGATCACAAGAAGTGATAGTACCGCTTTATACTGCACTGGAGATCACACTTGGAATATGGCGTCCAGATTTGGCCACCACGGTGTAAAAAAGATGTTGAGACTCTAGAAAGAGTACAGAGAAAAGCAACAAAGATGATATAGGGACTGGAGGCTAAATTACACATTGAATGGTTGAAGAAATGAAGAAAAGGATGACATGATAGCCATCTTCCAATATTTATGGGGCTGCCACAGAGAAGAGGGGGGTCAATATATTTCCAAAGCACCTGAAGGCAGGACAAGAAGCAATGGGTGGAAGCTTATCAAAGAAAGATCTAATTTAGGATTAAGGAGGAATTTCCTGACAGCGAGATCAATCAATCCATCAGTGGAAGGACTTGCCTCCAGAAGTTGTGGCTGCTCCATCACTGGAGGTTTTCAAGAAGAGATTGGACAGCCATTTATCCAAAACGATATAGGGTCTCCTTCCTGAGCAAGGGGTTGGGCTAGAAGACCTCCGAGGTCCCTCCCAACTGTGTTATTCTGTATTCTTTATTTTGCAACAGACTAGGAATGGCATGGGTGTAACAAGGAGCGTAACAGGGAGGGGCAGTTTTCACAGTGAGGCCCTACTTCCTAAACATTTTTATAAAATAACATAGAATAAAGCCTAAATAACCAGGCAAAGAATGCCAGGTGGAAAAAAAAAAAGGCTTTATTAAGCTGGGTTGTATGTTTTGGGAACTCACCGCCCATCATCACTATTTGGCACTTGAGTCTACGTTCCTTTTCACATCAATCTTGTCATCGCCAGCCTCGCTCAGGAAAAGGATAGATTTACAAGTTTCAAATTGCACAAGGCAGGATGTTTTTACAGGGGGGGAGGGCTGGCCTTTCTACCCCGGGGTTGAATAATAATAATAATAAAAAAGTCATCCTAAGTGAACAAATGTGGGAAATCGGACTGATTAATCGGCAGGAGGAAGATTCCAATATTAATCACAGTCCCTCTGAAATACAAAGCTGTCCTGTTTTTTTTGTTTTTTTTTAAAGAGGTCTCCCTTTTCAGATAAATCAAAGTTTATTAGGCGATTAAGATAAACTTTTTGTCTGGCATGCAAATTTTTCCTTTGAAAAGGTGGGACAGAGTTCCAGCAATGAGGGAAGATTCTGGAGACCTTCCCAAACATCTTGGAGGACACCCAAAGCCCTTGGAGAGGGGTCTCAGGCCTGCCTTAAACCACGATGGACAAGCCACCACCTATGGTCTTAGGGCAGGGGTAGGGAACCTTGGTTCTTTTAGGACTTGTAGACTTGAACTCCCAGAATTCCTGAGTCAGCATGGCTGGCTCAGGAATTCTGGGTATTGAAGTCCACAAGTCATAAAAAGCCAAGATTCCCTACGCCTGGCTTAGGGCAAAGACTTGCTAGAAGGTCAAAACTGGCTTGACAGAATTGGCCAACAGTGTTAGCCTTGGTTAATTTAATGTGGGGGATGGGAGGGGAGAAGGATCCTTCCCCCCAAGGAAAAACAGATCCATAGTGTAGTAGAGACATGTTGGGAGAAATGAAAGAGGAGGAGAGGAGGGGGGAAAGGATCCTATTCAGCTTGCAAGGTTCTACCCCTAGAGCTATTCTAATCAAAGTAGTTGTAGGCCTACAGGGTGTCTGTTTTTTGGTCTGGTCTACCTTGCTGAGCTGATCCCCAAAATGAGTTACCTGAGACACCTCTGTACATAGGGGTCTTCTCTGTGGAACTCCAAGCCACCGTGTTTCAGAGCATCCTCAGGATTGGCAAATGCCTGGAAAAGACCAGAAGGAGAAGACAATGAAGATCAAAGCAGAAGTTCATTCATTCATATTGTACATGTGGTAGTGGTGAATCGGGACACGGCCAGGTGATCTGCATGGCTGTCTTCTAGTTAAAATGCTACAGTCTTATCAAGCCTAGACTTCCTCATTAACATCTGGGAAAAGTATGACTCTTCTGCCTGGAGGAAACACACCAACTGAGATATGAATTTTGGGCCAGGTCCAACGGTGGAGAGGAGGCGGAAGGGAAGAGATGGGCAGCTTGCTTCCTTCACCTCCTGGGAAAGAGACCTCCCCCCCCCCCCGGGGAGAAAGGAAGGGTGTCAGCTAAGGTGAGGCCCATTTATTGATTTAAGTTCGTATGTTGCCCATCTCACTCTCCAGAACAGGCTCTTTTCAAGGCAATCAAATATAGAAGTATAAAAACAATTATACAGAAGCAGTTAAAATTACAAGAATTAGATTAGAGCACAGAATCATAGGACTTGGAAGGGACTCTGGAGATCTAGTCCCTTCCCCTGCCCGAGGCAGGAGACCTTATAACCAGGGGTAGGCAACCTTGGCTCTTTTATGACTCGTGGACTTCAGCTCCCAGAATTCCTGAGCCAGCCATGCTGGCTCAGGAATTCTGGGAGCTGAAGTCCAGGAGTCATAAAAGAGCCAAGGTTGCCTACCCCTGCCTTACAGCATCCCACCCAAATGGAGGTCCATTTTTTTTCTTCTTCACTCGCTCCTAACACTGTCATAATAATAATCAAAATTATTTGGCTCCCACCCCCTGCTCAGAAAGCTCTCTGGCGTGAGCGGATTTTTTTTTTTTTTTTTACAAGAGAGCTGAAGTGGAGAAGCCATAACTTTGCTTGCAAAGATAAACAGTCCCTCCTGCCTGCTTTGAACCCTTCATGGATTACGAATCCTGAAAACACAGGCTGGGCGTTTATTTTCGGCTGCTCGTTCCTCTTGCTATGAAAGGTTCTCGGTTGCAGACCCACTTTACCTTCCCACCCACCCATCCCTCCACAGCCCCCATGGCTCCTTCTGGGCAACTTTCTCCCGCTTAAAAGCAACGGCTTCTTATTAAATAAACAAAGCAGGATTGCAAAAGTATTGACGTCAGCCAGACCCTTCAAACTTTTCCAAGAGAACGATTTGAATATCCCACGTTTCAACACTTTAAAAATCCCCCCCCCCAAAATTTTTTGAAATGTCATGGAATCCCCCAATAAAAATTCCCATTACATCACCAATGATGTAGTTTATATTTTGGTGCCAACCATGCTAGGGAACTCTTGGTGGTCAGGTTTAAATTTAATATTAGAGCTGGGGTGACATCAGTGTTGCTCAAGAGTCAACACTGTTACATTCTGGGGAATTCTGGGAATTGGAGTCCACCCCTGTTAAGGTTGCTAGACTGTTCACTCTATGCATTTAACACAACCTAGCTGCTGTGATGGGTTTTTTGGGGACAGAGGCTGACATGATGGCAGTGGTTCAACATCTGAGGGGCTGCCACAAAGAAGAGGGGGTCAACCTATCCTCCAAAGCACCAGAGGGCAGGGCAAAAGGCAACAGATGGAAACTAACCATGGAGAGAAGCAACCCAGAACTAAGGAGAAATTTCCCGACAGTGAGAAGAATAAACCAGTGGAAGGACTTTCCTCCAGAAGTTGTGGGTGCTCCATCACTGGAGGCTTTCAAGAAGAGACTGGACAACCATCTGACAAGGATGGTATAAGATCTCCTGCTTGAGGAAGGGGTAAGACTAGAAGACCTCCAAGGTCCCTTCCAACTCTGTTATGTCAACCCAGTTCCCATAGAACTGAAATATCTACCTAAGAAATTGGGGATTAGCTTCTAGGTTAATTTACTTATCACATCTGTAAGGCACCCATCTCACCCAAGTGGCCCTACATGGGCCAGAGCAATCAAGGTTTAATGACCTGGTGATCCCCAGGGCTGAATGTAGATATTTCCGTGTCAAATGCCAAATTCCCCATTTAAGCAGGAGGATACTGATTCCTCCATGCAGAAATCCAAGCATGAGCAGGTTCTAAAAATGGCACAGTCTTTGTTGGCTGTGCCGTGATTGTTATGCACCTGGCCTTCTATTTAATCCCCAGTGTTTTTTTAAAAAGACTATTATATTTCTTTTATGTGCTGGTATTGTTAGAAATAAGGCGGCTCTGGATTCTAATTTTTCCCAGGCATCTAATCGTTTTTCCTTTAATCGCACATTACTCATTGCACAGAGCAGCGTGCTAAAACCATATTCACGAATGAAAGGGAATATCCACGTCCCAGGATCATCTTGCAGAATCCCACCTGGATCAGAGGTTTATTCTCCCAAACGCTGGGGCTCCTGCTGTACCCATCCTTATTCTCCAAGGGCTTTGGGCCCTTCTGTGTGCTAGCTATTTATATGGTGGCTTAATAGCTTAATAGCCACCATATAAATACCACCACCACTTCATAGCCAGCATCGACACCCCAATCTACATCTAAAAAGCTACACCCCACAGCGACCATATAAATACCACAGAGAACAGCCCAAAGCACACACAGAAGGATTGGCTCCTGCACAAGCAAAAACACCTCTTGTTCCTGGTGACCAACCCGGACTGAATCCTAAAACAGTATTTTCCTTTAAAAAAAAACAACAACCCACATTTTAAAAGCCTCACACATTACTTTCACGGCCAGTTCCAGAAAAAACATGCAACTTGCACTATGTTGCCGTCTTCCCCTCTTAGGAGGGGAGACCCCAGCGTCTTCTGAAAAACTCTGCTGGGGAGAAATTGGGCTTTGCAGACCTCTCGAACGTGGTTGTATCTCCCCAAAAGACAACACCCCTCAAGCTGCAAAGAAAAAAAAAAAAAGCAGACAGGCAGGAAAACGGGAAAGAGGCAGACGGGAGATGCTGCAGCCTGGAGGAGCCCCTTTCAAAGAATGTGCAAAGGAAGAAAAACTTCCTTTCGCTCCCCACCCCGCCAGCTGTGGCTTACCTTCTTCCGAAGCCTGACCTGCCCCGTGAGAATAGCCGTGGCGTACATCTTCAGGATCAACAGCGTGGCGAAAAAGAGGAAAGAGGCGAAGATCTCATTCTCCATCATTTTGGCCCGCCGGAGTGGAAGCTGCTGCTTTCAGACTTCTGGCAGGGACTATATGAGCTGGCAATTAAGAAGGGGGTGGACCTGCTGTGGGTGATGATCAGCCCTCCTTTGCAGATCCACAGACTGCCGCCACTTACAACCTCATCAAGCCAACTCAGGTTCCTGGAAGGCTTAAACCAGGTAAGCTTCCCAGGGGTTCAGCTTCTTTTCCAAGGGCCCTTCCAGTTCTATTCTGGTTGATTAAAATTGGGGTTTTATTAGCACCCTAAGCCCCCAGAGGGCTTTGTTTGGCTGACCTGGCCCTGGCGGTGGGGGGTGGGGGGTGGGAACTGGCAGCCAAACCATCAATGGGGTTTATTGTGGTTTTGTGCAGATGTTTCATTCCAAACTAGATAACCTCATCAGTCCACTGTGCCACGTCGGTATCCCCTGCAGTTTTGCCTAAGCTGTCCCCCCGTGAGTTTTCATAGCAGAGTGGCTGCATTCAGACAACCAATTAGCGCCAAGGTTGGTAATCCACTTGTAGAGTTCCACAATTTTGAGATGGAGGGAACAAGCTTCCTTTCCACCGAATTAGGGGGCTTACAAGGGAGCAGCAATAAGAAGCTCCACTTTAATCTTCTCCCCAGTAAAGGACAGGCAGATTCCCGGCTTCACATTGAGTTTTTTTGAGCCCCGTCCCCTTCACACAACATGCCAAACCAGGTCAATGCAAGCTACTGTGGCTGCCTGTTGAGCTTGTCTGACCAAACCTTCATTGTTTATGTGGATTTTATAGGGGTTTGGGGTTTTGGGGGGGGCAGTATAGGGAGATGGATTGCCCAGGCCATAATTCCCTTTTATGGACTGATAGGAAAGGGGGAAATTTCATCCTGAGATTTGACAAGGAAACAGTCCAAAGTCGCCTCATTTCTGCAGACGATCCTTGGCAAATCCCTTGCTGGATTATGGGAAGCAATGTGTTGAAATATAGAAGGGTGATCAGAAAAAAATGTGTGATGCCATCCCTAGTTTCTGCCAGTCGGACTTTTCTTTCTTGCCCAGACTTGTCTTCACGCTCTTTTCATAAAAGCAGCATCAGAAAATGGCAATTCAGCAGTTGGCATGGTTGTTGGGAAGCCCACACAAGGACACAACTTTACTTGTCACTTTAAGGGATCTTCGCTGTCTCTTGTTTTGGGAGGCTCAGCTAAAGGCCACCCATTTCCATCTTGTTCAATGTTGGGGGGGGGGTCCTCATTTGCTTAGCCCAGGAGTCTTCAAACTTGGCCACTTTAAGACGTGTGGACTTCAACTCCCAGAATTCCCTAGCCAACCTGGGTGTTGAAGGCCACAAGTCTTAAGAGGGCCAAGGTTGGACGCCTTGGGTCTAGACCAGGGGTGTCAAACTACCGGCCTGCGGGCCTGTAGATATGTCATGACATGTCACATGACGTGGTGAGTTTGACACCCGTGGTCTAGACCAGGGGTAGTCAACCTTGGCTCTTTTATGACTCGTGGACTTCAATTCCCAGAATTCCTGAGCAAGCTGGCTCAGGAATTCTGGGAATTGAAGTCCATGAGTCATAAAAGAGCCAAGGTTGACTACCCCTGGCCTAGACCATATTTGTGAGTTAAGAGTGGAAAAATCTGTACAATGAGGCCTTGTTTCCATTAAAACCACTCACCCCACTGACAATTCCTGTTCTCAGCCCCCTATGAGCCCAGCAGGAAAAAAACACTTCTGGGTCAAAAGGACCCTTCAGCTTGAATCAAGAAAGACACCTGAACTTACTTTCTGAGAAGTTTCCTTTATTGTTCTTCATCTACTTTGTCAAACTAAATCAACTACTTGCATAATTGAAGATATTATTATTATTATTTTATTATTAATTGTATTTATATCCCGCCCTTCTCCTTTCGGACTCAGAGTACTCTGGGTACTCTTAAGAAGGTATCATCTTCACCCTCTTTCTCCCACACAAACTATCTAAACTTTGCTGTTTCTTGGTAGTCTGGAATGCTTCCCTTCTCTCCTGGGAATCCAGACTACATTCCACCACAGCATTGCCCTAAGCCATGGTTTGCCAAGAACTATGCTGATGCCAAAAAACCTCTCACCACTTCCTGTTCTTCTCATGATCCATTGATTCAACCCTCACATTCCGTTCTTCTCGTGGTCCATTGATTCAATCCTGAATCCTGGTGACTTCATGGACAGGTCCTTCCAGTTTTCTTGGCAACATGAAAGTGGGCTGATGGTTCTTTTTTTCCAAGGCTGGGAGAGCGTACAGAATAACAGAGTTTGAAGGGACCTTGGAGGCCTTCTAGTCCAGCCCTCTGCTGAGACAGGAGACTTTATACCATTCCAGACAAATGGCTGTCCAATCTCTTCTTAAAAACCTGCAGTGACGGAGCACCCACGACTTCTGGAGAGGCTCAGGAAACCTCCTTAATTCTGAGGAATTCATGGGGACTACTTTGTTGTTGTTTGGCGCGCACAGCTGGCCCCCTTTCCCAGCGGTTAACCCACTGGATTTGCTTATGCAAAACCTTCTTAAGAAGATTAACAAGTCCTTCGTTGTGTCTCCAAACACAATGGCAGCTGGAAAGAGGCCTAATGGAAGGGGAAGCTGGAGAGATGATCCCTCCGAGCTGGACCCCTGGACACCGAGACTCCGTCCAGCTTGCTTCTCCCTTCCCTTCCCACCAGCTGCTCTGGTTCCACTCCTGCTATTGTAAACAGGAGCTCTTCCACAGGGGAGAGAAGAGAGCAGGGCTGAGGTCAGTCCCCTTGCTGTTTACCAACTCTCAGGCACAGGGGGCCAAGCTGGGGAACTTTGCCTGGGAAGGGTCTTAGCTTTCACCCAATTTGAGACGAAGAGTCTGACCAGGGAGGGTAACATCTGAGCTACCTCAGATGTAGAGATCTTTGCAAGGAGAAGAGCAACCAAGATGGAAGAGATCTGGAGGCTAAACCATACGACGAACGATTGTGGGACTAGTCTAGTCTAATAAAGAGATCAAGACTGGGGGTGACTTGAAAGCAGTCTTCCAGGACTTGAGAGGTTGCCACAGAGAAGAGGGGGTCAACCAATTCTCCAAAGCCTCAGAAAGTAGGACAAGAAGTAACGGACGGAAGCTTGTCAAAGAGAGAGCCAAGCTAGAATTAAGGAGGAATTTCCTGACCGTGAGAACAATTAGTCAGTGGAGCAGCTTGCTTTTGGGTGCTCCAGCACTGAAGGTTTTAAAGAAGAGATTGGACAACTCTTTGATTGAGATAGGGGTTGGACTAGAAGACCTCCAAGGTCCCTTCCAACTCTGTTATTCTGATCTTTATTCTGTACAGAATAATTGATGCTCGAGAACCAATTCCAAAGCAAGCACATTGTCCATTTCAAAGTGAGATCCTTTTATACACGTAGTTCTTACAGAACGCATCTTCTTAAAGGAACTCCAGTGGACTTCCACCCATGCATTTAGCGACTGTTGAAAGTTACAGCTCTTTCCTGAATGGACCCATTTTCTGGGATCTGGGCTGTTTGGTGACATCAAGGCACGACTTAACAATAATTAGTTTTAATTAATAAATCAATTAGGATTAAGTCATTACCAAGGGGAGCAGAAAAGTAAGGTTTTTTTTTTAAACACTTGATCATGCTGCCCCCTGGTGGTAAGAACAAAATCATTATACACTGCATTAATGCTGCATTTCTTACCACCAGAAATAAAGAAAAAAAAAACTATAGTATTTTAATTTAGGGGATAGAACCCTCCCCACCTACCATCACCTACACCATTACATAACACTGAAAATATGTCCTCGCAATCCTGGTCCAAGGCAGTGTTTTTCAACCTTGGCAACTTTAAGACACGTGGATTTCAACTCCCAGAATTCCCCAGCCAAGTAGGTCTCCCTGCCCTAAAGTTTCTAAGGTTGAGAAACGCTGGTCTAAGGAATTCTGGGAGTTGAAGTATTGAGTTGAGGTATTCAGAGGGCAACCAGGTTGATGCGTCATGCCGTTGTGATCCGCCTCTAAGTGAATCCAGAAGTCTTAGTCAGTGTGGGTGTGAAGCCAGTCTGTTGTGTTGATGAAGCCACCAGCCCCTCTTCTTGGCAGAGGCCACCATCAGACCCTGAAGAAGCAGAAGATCCGTGGGAAGAAGGAGACACCCAGCTAGCTTTTCCCTCAGAGAAAGTAGAGAGCTCCAAGGAATTGGAGGATGTTGGCTTGCTGGTCACATCCCAGATTTCCACCAGGGGAGAGCAGACAGCCCCTCCCATCCTAGGGGGCTTGATCCAGGAAGGTAAGAACCGGCTTACAATAATGGACTCACCGATGCACTCAAGAGGGTCAGTTGGTCCAAGTCTAAGCGTTGAAGCCCATCGTCCAGGCAGATTTGAAGCGCCTTGGTGGTCCTGGCTGTCTTCTTCTCGGCTCTTACTTCACCCAAGAGGGAGTCCCCTCTTGGTCTGGGATCCAGTCAGAGACATGATGGATCTGTTGTATCAGAGCAAGGCAAGGAAGAGAGAATGAGCCGCATGGGTTAAGCGGGCAGAGTGGCAAGGGGGTCTCTCTCTCTCTCTCTCTCTCTCTCTCTCTCTCTCTCTCTCTCTCTCTCTCTCTCTCTCTCTCTCACTCACTCACTCACTCACTCACTCTCTCTCTCTGAAACCCGATGGCTCGAACTAAGGCAGGAAATCCTTGGCTTGCAACCATCCATTCAGCGACCATTTGAATTTACAATGCCACCGGAAGAAAGAAAAAAACCAGGGTTGCGTTTTTTTTTGTCCCACCCAACTGCAGTCCTGGGTTGAGGACTCCCTATAAACCCTGTTGTGATTTAAGATGCTAAGACCATCACTGGATTTCACACAGCATGTCACGCTTGAAATCGACCGCACCCCAAGTGGTTGTGTGAATGGACGTGGCTAGGCCACCCCCATCAGCTGCAAAGCTTAGCCCATCTTCTGCCTGGACTTTTGCCCAAAGGGGTCAAGCAGCCTTTGCTAAGACGGTGTCAGATGAAGCTGCTAGATTTCATCTTCCAGCGATTCCTCCCTGAGAAATCTGAGAGGGGCAGTTTTGCACCCCTGAATTGACAAGAACACTCAGATCCTCTCTTACCTGCCTCCCTTTTAGGGTGTTCCCCTTCCTTTTAGCA